TCGGGGGGTGGATGGCATGGGTGAGGTCATCAGGAAAGCAGCCGCGCCGGCCGGGGAGGGGAGTTATAAAAAGGTAAGGGACAAAATGGAGCCTTTTGTCCGCCAACAGTCGCCCTCTTGGCAGGAGGGGGACCAGCCGAAACGCTGCCCAACACCCTCCCGGCGCGCTGGGTTTCGGGTGCCGGAGCAGGGGAGGGTTTGGTAGTGTTTAACGCGCCGGCGCGGGGCGGCAAACCTTCCTCGCTCTCTGCGTTTCCATGTCGCTTTATGGTAAAGAAAATGCAAAGAGATGTTTCCAAATGCATCCTCCTACCTGGAGACCCCGGGGGGTTTTAAGGCCGTTTGCCACGTGGCTTGAGATACGCAAGTTTTGCCTTTGGTTTTGCGTTTACCAGCAAACCAGCTGGGAGGGAAAAGGAGATAAAAACAAACACTCTGTGATTACAATTTCTGTTTGTAAATCCCCAAAACAGCCCTTGTGCTTTACAGAGAGAGAATAAAGCGCTGCCTGTGGGTCTGGAACTTTAAATATAGTAATTGTCCGTGGCTGGTAATGACAAACCCTGGCAAAAATAGCCTCAGTGGCCTGGCCGTGTCCCGGGCTGTGCACCCTGTTTGGTGCTGGGGGGGGATGGCTCCGATATCCAGCCTCCGCTGGCCTCACCGCGTTTTAACCCCTCGCATCGCAGTGGCACCGCCTGGCTGGGATGAGGTCCTGCCGAAGCATCGCTGGCAGCCGTTAATCGATAATTCGCTATATAATTCGCCTCTTCTTCCCTCTCCAAACAGGCAGCACCTTAGCAAAGCGCGCCTGGTCGTCGGTGCGGGGTTGGGACCCATCGGTACAACTCCAGAAGTTATTAGGGGTTATTAGGGCCGTTATTAGGAGCTGGCTGCTCTACCCAAAGTTGGGGGGGGAGGGTACGGCGAGGAGCCTGGCAAATCACTGCTACACCTCAACGCCGAATAAATCCTCCATGTGCAATTTTACGTGCTGTTTCGGGTGATGTCTGTAAGGAGGGAAGGCTGCTAGTGCAGGTGCCTGCGTGCTAAATAGCGGGGAGCGTACGTGGTGAAAAGAGCAGTCCAGCTACTACTTGGGAAGCGACAAATAACACAGTATGTGTCCTGGTTTGAGGGCAGTATGGACTTTGCTCGGTTTCCCAGAAAACTGCAGAAATCTTGTGCTCCCTGCCATGGGCATTCGCTCTCCATCCAGCATTGAGGCGGTTGGGGACGGGCCCCGGCATCAGCGGTACCTCCGTGTGCCCCCAGGGATGGGGTTGTGTGGAAAGAAGGCATATATTGGATAAATTCGGGCTCTCAAACAAAAACTTAGGGTTTTTTTTGGTGTTGGGGACGGCCCGTGTCGGAGGCGGGTGGGGAAGAGCCCGAGTGGTTGCGTACAATCTGCAAACGCCAGTGATGCGATGGTGATAGATTTATAAATGGCAGTAATTAGAGCGGGCGGCGGGGCTGGGAAACGGTGGGCTGAGTCCGCTCTGGGGGGGAAAGGCTGAACCTCCCCCCCGAGGTCGTTCGCCTTTACTGGAGCGGGATTGTAAAGCCTTTGACGTGGAGGCGGTCACAGCCCTCCTCTGACATTGTGTTTTTATTCGTGGGCTTAAACAAAGGTAGTTCCTGACCTTCCCAATTGGAAGGTCAACAGTAAGAAGGAAAACATCCGCCCCAAACTGGTTTGCCTTGAAAATAAAAAGCAGCCTTTTGTTTAAAATTAATTGTCTGAACCGGACTTCAGCTCTGCAGACCCCTGAAATACATGCGTTTTGTGATTCAGTGTCAAAATACACGTTTAAATAACATGGGTTTATGTTTTTTTCTTGCTAGCGCCTCTGCATTTTGAGTATTTGGTGCATTATTTTTTATATACTGAGCAAGTAATATTCGATAATCAAAAAACCACTTGCAATTTTCCTTCTCGATTTAGAATTTTCACTACCCGGCTCCGGATGCACACTGCAGCTGTCGGGTCATTTATCTACAAGCCTAAAGTCCAGTTCCCTTAGGTATATTCTATTTCGTAGTAACTGTTCCCTATTTTATAATAACAAATGGGACTCTTGATTTCTTTATGGTCATTAGCTTGTGTCTGGCTTATAAAATGGGATATTCTGAGCTCAGTCCTGGGAGCGGTGTTATTTAGTATCCTCAGTAATGACCTGGCGGAGAAAACAAATTGCACGTTGATTAAATGTACAGATGTGGAAGTGGGAGCAGGTGCGGCTGGGTGGGAAACGGAGCAAAATTAAGAAGGATCGGGAGAGACAGCCCCATCTGAAAGGGGTGAATACGTTGGAGTGTGCCTGTATTTCTGTGTGTTTTAACTCAAAGAAGAGTAGTTTCCAGCAGGCACAGAGTAGGTGGGTACGCTGCTGAGGGAGGGAGCCGTCCCGGCTGGCTGGGATGTGGAGATGTGCTTTGGGCTCCTGATTTCTGTCGGAACACAAGGAAAATCAGAAAAAAAGATGGGAAGATGTGGGAGAAGATCATCTGAGTTGGAAAAACGGGGGAGGTTAAGTATCCCTGACTCCATGAAATATTGATGCGCTGAGGGATGCGGCTGGTTCTCACAGGGGAGACACCCGCCCTGTGCATGGGGAGATGGGCACCATGAGGAACCGGCACGGACAGCCCTGTCTCTGGTTTCAGTCCACTAAAAAAAATACTTCTCCCTCATTTTTACTTTTATTTTTTCCCACTGTGCTGCCTTCACTGGCAGGGCTGGCTATTTTTTCTTCTAGATCTAGCTGCCTCTGTGTGATTAAGGCGTCGATTATTGAAATGTGAAAAAGCAAAAGTAGAAAAACACAGTGGGGCGGTCTGGGTAGAACTTCGGAAACTGGGAGCTGAACCCCAAAACTCGATACCACTTGATGCTGCGGGGGTTACTTTTAATATTTTAAATATTTTAAATAAAAGGAGTTAGGTTACAAATGAAGTACGTGTTTTGGGGTGGGATTGGCAACATAATGGGCAGTGTGATAACGTAACGTCTGTAGTCAGCACTCGAGTTGGAATTAAATTATTTGCTATTTTAAGTTAATAATTTGCATTGTGTTATATTTCGCTTCCTTGTGTCAAAAAAAGTGCTTTGTTTTTACTTAGATGAAATATGGGAAGCACAGCTATATTAGTGAACACGATGGAAGCAGCCTGCGCTTGCCTGATACGTTTTTTTCTGTTGTGTATTCTTGATCAAGTATTATGTGTTATTTTAAAATGAAATGTTTGAGGGCTTCGGGATGTTCCTTCTATCAATAACTTGCTGCCTTGTATGAATTTGTTGTCAGCGTTGGCACATAATCTGTTCGTGACAGACACCGGGATAGTACCGGTACTAATTTTGAATGCAGATCTGTGATTTTCATTTATTGCACATTGATTACACAGTCATCTCCATCATCATCAATCGGTGATTGATTTTCAATCACTTTGTAGCTTGCTTGCTTATTCAAAAAAACATACATAAAAACACATTGTTAAAACTGTGGATAATTTGATGGCAATGGTTAAAAATACATCTCTAAGCACGTTGGCAGAAGAAGGATTGTGTGGTTTTGGAGGCTGCTCAGGGAAGTGGAAGATGCTCATGGTGTGCGCGTGGCCTCGGTGGCTATATATGGGTATAGGTAGAGATATCGATATATATTAGGTATATATCAGATGTGTACTTTAGATATGTGTGTATACCTATCAGTATGTGGAGAGGGAGAGATGTAGACGGGCTTCTCTGTTGGGATGGGCTACGTGGCTCACCCAAGCCCGGGAGAGAGCTTGAGGGACACTGGGCATCATGGGCATCATGAGCGTGGGAGTGGAGCTGGTGGGACAACTCTTCTTCCTGCGCACTGGTGTGACCGGCAGCTTCATCCTTTCTTGTCACCCTTCCTTTTCAGGCCCAGAAGAATGAGCGGGAGTCCATCAGGCAGAAGTTGGCTCTGGGCAGTTTCTTCGACGATGGCCCAGGACTTTACACCAGCTGCAGCAAGAGCGGCAAGCCGAGCCTCTCCTCCCGGTAAGCCCAGCGGCCTCACAGCCGAGAACCTCTTTGGAGGCTGAAAAGCGTGAGATGCCTCCAGCGGCACGTCCTGAGACCTGCCCTTCAGAGGAGCCCTCAGTTTTTCCTTGCAACTGTGTTCTTGAATCTTCTTGTTTTGGAACAGCGTCTTATGCTCCAAATGCAGCAGTTGTCTGTTATGTAAATAATTGTAAATAATATGCTAAAATATTAGGTTAAAACTGTACGGTAGAGATATTTGGATGCCCAGAGGATAACGCAAATGAGCTGAATTTTCCTGAGATGGGTTTCCTTTTGGTTTTCATTTAGGATCTCTGCCCCAGGCAGTGGTGGAGTCCCCATCCCTGGAGGTATTTAAGGGTCATGTAGATGCAGTGCTCAGGGACGTGGGTTAGTGGTGGGCTTGGCAGTGGGTAAGGATTGGATGGATGATCTTACAGGTCTTTTCCCATCTAGGAGACTCTGTGATTCTGTGACTTGGGCAGACTGAGAACAGTGGTGGAAGTGTGATGAATGCACAACTGGAGTTATTGTCAGGAGAACAGTTGGGTTTGCTTTTTTTTTTCCCCAAGGAGTTCTTTACGTTGAGTTGCAAAATACTGAGGATTTGAATGTCTGAACGCCTGGTTTGATTCCAGATGTGCGTGTCCAAAGCAGGGCAGGGCTTGAGGATGGTCCCACCAGTCCTGGGTCAAGCAGCCTGGTGACGGTTGGTAAAAAAACACGGGTTTGTGACCGCACATCTTCCTTCAGCGGCCGGGGAGGTGGCAGCTGGTTGGAAACAGGTCCGATGGTGATAGCTAGCCCTGGTGACAGCAGGGCAGTGGAGACCAATTAATCTCATGCACAGAATGCACCAGAGAGTGGAAAAAAATGAGCTTTAACGTGGCTCGCTGCCTTCCCCCTACATCCACACACTCTGCGCGAGCTCTGCTCGCTGAACACCGCTCCATCCCCGGGGCGGGCGCATTGCATAGCACGGATACCGCACTTGATCTGATTTTTTAAATTTCTACATCAAATATACTCCAGAGAGGCTTGTTTATATTCAGCTACAGGGGAATAACCCGTGGCACTTGCAAAGCATCAAACACCTCCCACGTTGGGAGTGAAGACCAACCTGTTGCCATGGTGTGAGAGAAGAAAAAAAGTCTTAGAGAGGCATAAAACCAGGAGGAATGCTGTTATTACACCAGAGAGGTACAATTGTGAAATTAAATTGAACTGCAAGTCATTTGAAAGGGAAAACAGTTTTGTGCTGTGTAGTTACAGATAAACCAGGAGCTGCTATCTTGTAATTATAGCACGGGTCTAATTAACGCTGCACGGCAGGGTTTGGCAGCTGTGCCACGAGAAATTACCAGCTGTACCTGAACGCTTTGGCGTTTCATTAATATTTATAGTCCGGGCAAAGCATTAGTATTGCACGCTGCCCGTTACGGGACCTACAGGAACCTTTGTGGGACCATTGCTCTCGTTGAGCACTGTGCTGGCACACGAAATTAAAGAGCGTAAATTGCTGTGTTTGGGGCATTGGGGTCGTGTTCTCAGAAGGTACACGAGTCGCAGACCCACATTTTGCATTTGCTCTGCCCTTTCTGCGCAATGCAGTTTGAAGCAGAGCCAAGGGTAAAGCCTGCTCCCCGGCCTGGGTACCCGCGTCTGTCCACCACAGCTTCACGGCTGGTGTGGAATTATAGATACAGAATCACAGAATGGTTTGGGGTGGAAGGGACCTTAAAGGCCATCTAGTCCAACCTCCCCTGCCATGAGCAGGGACACCTCCC